TAGAGATGGGCACTATGCAGCATGGTGCTTAATTGTTACATGATTAAAACTATGAAAATCACATCGGATGTTAATTTTTACATAAACTATAATATGTGACGATTAAGCACCATGCTGCATAGTACCCATCTCTAGTCACACCTGATCTTGAAGATTGGCCAGTGAAATTTTTTAGGTTGGTAACGCTAGGACAGTTTTATAGAACGGACATGATGGATCAATTTTAATCGATTATGACAGGTTGAAAGAGAGAATATAATTTGTAACTTTTTTAATAGACATGCATATCGATATACATTAATTCATAATAATTTATTGGTTTAAAGCCATAACGATAATATGTATATTATGTTTCTAAAAGTTAAAGCATCATATAGCTTAAGCTCTGTTATCTTTACTAAACAAAATGATTAATAAATACGCATTCTGCAGATACTAATTGTTGAATAAATGGACTACAAATTTTGAGTAGTTTTAAATAAAATTTGTTTACAGTAATTTCAACTTAGCAGACCACGTTTCCAACCCGGAATTTTATTTGTACGAGTTTAAAGTCTATTTTGGGATTATCGTTATCGTTATAGAATTTCCGGAATTTTTTACCTTATTCTGAGACAATTAATGATTATATTCGACATCTGCAAACTAGTAAAGTTAACGTTTCGGCCGAATGATGAAAATAGCTGTAAATGATCCATTTGCAGGTTATCGTTATGTATTCAAATGTAATCAAGTATCACATGATTGGTTTTCTCGGGTGCAATCATTATTATACTAAACATACAAGCACGTCGGTTTTATCTTTTTTTTAGCTAGGATGCTTCAAAAACCTAATTTATGTTGCATAATACATTAATATTATAAAAATATTTAACCTAAAATTTATTTTTTGAATTTATATATGCATTCATTATTATATATATATAATTTATAGTAATTTATAGTTCACCAGACTTGGAATTGCGTCATCATTCGCTACCATTGCATACCAGATACGGTATGTACGTACGTACGTACGTACATATCGATATCAAGTATCAGTATGTATCAGTATTGTGGAAACCCTTAATATATTATTTCATGATCCCATTCTTAATTGAACATCTTTTTTGTCTGACTTATGCAAAGGTATCCTTTCTTTTGAATAACTTATATCGATATTGATACATGAAAATATCAAGAATTCTTGTGACACAAGTAAATGATTGGCTTAACATACATGTGAATTAATGGATCAAGTCGTCATTTCTTCCCTATATACTTATAATCACAACGCGCTTCACTCGATTCTAACATTTTATTGCCATTATTATAATATGTATAATATAGATGCAGTCACATAAAATAAAAATTGCAGAACTTTCTAAATCAATAAATATATCAAGGCAAAAAGGTTGCGTTGATGCTCTTGAACATTTGGAAATAAAAACAAACTTAGTAAATCTGATTAGTGATTTTAATGAAGATGGAATTGTTCTGGATTTCGTACCATTTGAATATTTCAAACGATATAATAGAGCACTGACTTACTCTGATGAATTGGTTAGTCATCATTTAAATATATAATACATCATCTAATTACATTTTATTTGGATGGTGTATAAACCAAATTTTTTGTTTTTATGATTGACAGTGCATAGAAGATTTAGAGAAAAACATGCCAAATGTATTCCATATAACAAAAAAAATTGGTTCTGAACCATCAGTTCTCAAGGTTCAACCTAATGTTCGCTGCATGTTGGGAACAGAGGATCATAGTAATCAAGCGCGCAAGGAACAGCATCTTCATTCATTTCACTTTCCATCATTATATGACCGAGGAAAAGATTATTATTATCAGAGACTTTATACAAATAGTCACTCTAGATCTCATGATAAGTGGGAAGAAAAAGATTATAATAAAAGATTAAGGATCGATGATTGTTGGAAAAAGAACACCAATGGTCCACCATGGACAAATCCTTATGGCAGTTTGCCTCCAAGTTTTCAGACCGAGAGACATCAAGATGAAAAAACACCATGGACAAATCCTTATGGCAATTTGCCACAAAGTTTTCGGAACGAGAGACATCAAGATGAAAAATATCGAAATGATTATGAAAGGTATCAAGATGGTTATGGGAGAGGTTATGATGATTGGAATAAATATAAATATTCACCTGAGCAACCATTAGGAAATCCTTATAGAGGTTTATCACCTAGCGATCGTTATTTGCGGAATAGTAGTCATCATTACACCCAATATTGTAACCAATATTATAACCAATATTATAACCAATATTATAACCAATATTATAACCAATCCTATAAGGAAGAATCAAGGTT